TAATTTTGTCTTGCATGTCAGATAATAGTTTAACCTCCCAATGATATATACTCCCTTCGAGACATCAGTTATTCTCTATACTTGCTGCACAACATGCACGAGAACATCGTACTTCTATGTAAAAAAAAACGTCATTAAACGGTTTTACTGAGGCAGTGCACTGATCAGATCTAATCCTGTGACTGAGGTCCAGAACTCTTCGCACTGAAATGTTTGTACCTTTGTGGAATAGACAGGTTGTCCTGTATAAAGCACTCTGCTTTCTCCCTTGTGGTTTGTAGCATTAGATCATCAACCAATTCACATAGACTTCAGTGCACCCATGGAGATGAACCCTCTTCCCCTAATAAACAGCAATCCATTACATCCTATTTTTACTAGTGAGATTCTATTGCCATACAGTGATGGAAGTTGGCAGAGCAAGACTCGACAGTAAGCAAAAGCATAAAATTGAATTGGAACAGTTCAATTTTACATAACCGCTTTGTTTAAAAGACATCAACAGAAAGCTTCTATTTATTAAGCCCTATTCACAGCGCCCAGCAATCATTTTACCTGCATTTCACAATGGAAACAAAAGGTGCCTTTTGCATACAATACTAAACACCCAGTTGTTCAATTACAGATGTGCATTAGGTCCCTCGTAGTTCATCAGGTTTGTTGCCTTATTGCACCGTTATCCTGGCCAACCATCCCCCAAATAAAATTGGTTATTCACTTCACAGCTGAGTTGTGAGACGCTGCTGTCCACAAATTGGCTGCTGGGTTCACCCGCAATACCCAGTGGCACTGTACCTCACAGTACATCACTTGACATGCTTTGGGATTTCCTCCCGACATGAAAGGTCCTATGTCAGATGTAAGGATTATTTTTATTATTATATATGATTTTTAGAGTTGCATTTGGGTAACTTTGATCAAAAATACATCAATGAAAGAAAACTTAGACGCCGTTGTTCTATATCTTAAATTCAGAGAAAGTTACCCGAGGCCAAAATGCAGTAAAATATGTAATTTTCATAGTTAAGAGTATTGATGTATTAGCCCTCCAATTTCCCCTTTCCCCCTGCCTTTTCCCACCATACTCTGTGTGTACCTAGCAGTAAGTAGGAACCCGGTTATTAATCAATTGGGGGATCGCTTTTCCGGGGGTAAAAAAAATAATTTGGTCATTCAATCCACTGCTGTTTGTGGGTCGCAGCTGAGCGCAATTGGCTGCTGCGTTTTGACCACAAAATATGCAGTCAATTCACTTTACAGAATATTCTGTGAAGCGCTTTGAGACGTCTCGAAGACGTGATAAGGCGCTATATCAAATGCAAGTATTATTATTATTTTTTCTCCCTAGGCCGTGCAGCCACTGAGGCTGAGATGTGGCTGTTTAAGTTACTCCCAGGCTAATATAACAACCACACTGTGACATGGCAGTGTATTGACAGCTCCCACTGGGGAGGTGTTAGGTTTCCACTCAAGTGCCTCCCACACTCTATTACCCCATTACTCCAGATCACCTTCACAATCCTAAACTGCCCATGGAGCACCAGCTCACAAGATTGAAATGATGCCCTCACTGTAGTCTTATTCATAACAATTTCAGTATTATTTCTTTATTGAGCATCAAAAGGAATCTCAATATCCAAACCCTCATCACCAAATATCAGCCGCTCAGGTCATTTATTTCAACTAGTAATTGCAGAAAGGCAGACACGGATCGACAGGCAGGGCCACTGAGGTAGAAACATAGTAAGACTTTCTTAGCCATCAAAGGAGAGGTGGTGGTGTTGGAGGTGGGAGGGGGGGAGGGGCGGGGGAAGGGAGAAAGAAATAAAGAAAATTGTGGTATCTATGTAACAGCTGCATCTGCTTTCTACGTATTCTGATGAAAATTATGCATCAAACGCTTGAAGAAATTGACAATGTTTCATTAGTTAGCTTCCCTTGTTCCATTGTACTCCTGTGCTGTACTTTTGCCATTAACAAATTAAGTGCGGAATGAATATACACTCCTCTCCTGTCGGTAATGGATTGCCAAGAATCCGTTAAGATCTACGGACCAAAGGGAAGACCTCAAAGTATTGGAATGCATTTCCGAAACTCAAGTACGCGCACGCAGTAGGCGAAGGTTGAGCATTCTGAAATTGGTCCAATAGGAAGCTCTTTACCCTGTCAGGAACACCGGGAAAGAGGGAGGGGGGGGCAACATTTCTTAACCTAAGATAAAGACCTAAGACCAAAGTTTTCAGAATTCTCCCCAAAAAAGAGATCCGTACAAAATCCATTTTCAAAGTAAGACTCAACCTGAGATAGTTTTGATGCTGTTGGACATCTAGCAGCATCTAGAAGCTTGTAAGCGCTCTGAGATGCTACCCTGCGTGGAGGGCACTATATAAGTGCAAGTTGTTGTAGTTGGCGTTGTAGCAGCTGCTTCTCTTCTGAACAAACATGATCTAAAACAGCATTTGCGTGATAGTGTCTCCTAGTAGGGGTGGAGGGCAGGGAAATCCTATACCAATGAAATCAACAATAACCAAACACCCTGATGTCAACTCAGGGAATGTTTTGACAATTTACTTTTTACAGCCATGTACAAAACAATCCCAGCTTAAGATACGATGGATGGATCACCCCAGAGTGTCCGAAATATGTACCTTACCAGCAACAAAAGAATTAAAAACCCCAAAGTTGACCACTATAAAGTGTAGCACAAATACTGTGTTAAGCAATGATAGCATGGGCCTGGATCCATAATGTCCCCTTTCTTTCCCCTGATCAGTATCCATCCCTGCCACTTCTGAGATGTTATTCTAAGTGTAGGATGTTTTATAAATGCAAATTGTTGTTGTCCACTTGAACACATAAACCAACTCTGAAAGTAGTACAATCGACTGAGTTTATGTTTTTTTCTATAATAATAATAATCCTCACATTTGATACAGCGCCTTATCACATCTTTGAGACATCTCACAGCGCTTCGCAGGATGTACTGTAAAGTGAATTGACTGTATATTTTGTAGGGAAATGCGGCAGCCAATTGTGCACAGCAGTGTCCCACAAACAGTCGTGGGTTGAGTGACCAAATAATAATAATTTTTTTTTGGAAGGGATTATTACACCTGGAAAGCGATCCGCCAATTGACTAACACCCGGGTTTTGACTTACTGCGAGGTAAACAGAGGTGTGTGTGTGTATGTTCTGTGTGTGACACAAACAGAGGGATAGTTTTTATAAAGGCAGAGATAGTATTTATAAAGGATGTTTTATCGAGTGGCCCCAGACCTCCATACCAGCCTCTCGCGCTCTCAATGACCTGGATTTAATCAAACTCTGTAGTGAGAATCTTAATTGTTTTTAATTTAATAATAACAACGATAATAATCCTTGCATTTGATACAATGCCACATCATGTCGGTGAGACGTCCCAAAGCGCTTCACAGAATACACTGTAAAGTAAACTGACTGTGCACTTTGTGGCCGATATTATTGCAAGAGAAGAGTTTATGAGATAATCTCTTTCCAGTCATTAGAAGCCGAGTGACATCACAGTGCTGACAGAAGGCTTTTTTAAAAAAAAATTCTCTTTCTCTCAGACAAACGTTCCTCAATAGTTGGTCAAATTTATTTTCTTTGGAGTGTAAGAATTTTTCGAACAAAAAACGTTTTCTCACTTATCTTGCTCAGATCTCAGAGTGAATCCATCATCTGTGACTGAGGATAAGTCGCCTGCTCCCAAGCTAGGAGTAACACCACTTATTCCTGGCCGGTTACTCGTAAGATATGCCCCCAAATTACTGCTGATTTTCTACCTCCCCTTTGAAGATGTCTAACCTCACACAGAGTTATTTACTGCTTCCCAGTCACATTTGCTTTGAAAGTTTCAGCAAAGTCAGAATTTATTGCACCAGGTGGCAGTCTATTTCGTAAACCAATTGAGCATGAAAAAGTTATTTACGCTAGGTTTACCTCATGACTTCCTTAGCTTATGAATTAGTCCCTCTGATTCTGCTCACTGGCCATCCCACATCCCTTCATCATGTTCAAAATTTAGTGCACATTTTTTTCTTGTCTTCTTTTCCACTGAGAATACTGTACAATAATTTCTGGTCACCAAATCACCTTTGATGCCCTTTGTGAGTTCTTCAGATTGCCTGGGTTATTCTTTCAAAAAAAACAATAAGACAGGCAATGGGAACACTAACCTCTCCCCTCGTCCCCTCCACACCCAGTATTTTATCCTCAGTCTCTCCAACATTTTAGATTAGCAAAATCACTAGCTTAGGTTTGTATTTGATTGATCTATTAACCATAATGATGAATTTCAATATGTGGCAAACAATCACACCTAGAATTCTTCCAACCTATAGTTAGTTAACTGACATTCTGAATCATTTTTACATTGCTAATTGCTATCAACTTTTCTCACTCGTTGACTTAGAACGGGAGGGAAGCTGCAGTGATCTCTAAATTCTAATCCTGTTCCTTGGCTTTCTCCAACGATGTATCACAATTACAGCACCTCCCTTAAAATAGTTTGTGTATATTAAGAGTAATCACCCCAAGAAGATCCATTGCGTCTTCTGCTGAACACAGCCAACTGTGCATTGTGATCTACTGTCATTACCCGTTGCCTCCTAGTATTTGCTCAACGCACAACAACCTTCTTTACCTCCAAAAGCTTTCACTTTATACTCTAAATGGTAACTGAGTACACACCAAGACTCTAAACAGAAAACTACTGCTCGGTAAAGCTTTCAGCTCAACTACAGTTGACTGAATCCATACCCGCTGCCTTGCTATTGATACAGAAACTACTTTACGTGAAAAAAAATCTCAGCTCACGTTTGTTTTCTGTGAAGAAACACAAAATGGATCTCACCAAAACCAGTGCAACAAGATGTGGAAGTAACTTCACAAACATTATTATTATTATTATTATTATTAGTGTCAATGCTTCACACTCACTACGGAACAGGCACTTAAAATGGCAACAAAATAGTCGGTACCTCAAAATCGTTTGCTTTGTTGTAGTGCATGTTCAAGGCTCGGTAGAGCTCCGAATCGCGAGAGACAGTCAGCTCCTCTGTGCTTGTTACTCCATCGTTAATGGACTGACGGGCAAACTTCTCCATCTGGATGTAGTAAAATTCTCGGAAATTGCTGAACCACTTGATAAGCTGCGAGGTGATGCATCTATTAAACTATCAAACAGAAAAGGACAAAGGTGAGACGTTTCAATTTTAGCCGCTGCAAATTTTTTTTTAGCCGCTTAACGTTTCAAATAAATTAAGTAGGTTACGCACATTTCAGAGCGCATCTAAACCCAACGACGTGTCGCTGATATTCTATCAAGCCGAGTTTTATGTGAATACATCAGTGAAATTAAACTCGCTTTGTTTTTTCAAAAGAAGATGTTTTGCTCAACCGGACTGAACCCGAACAACAACTTGCATTTATTGAGGGCACCTCGTGCGGCCTGGGGTCACAGAGCACTCGGCAGTGGAGGAGCCCGATGCCGATACTGAAGTAATAGCGGAGGAATTTTCAACAAGAAAAAAATAGGGGATTAGGAAGTGGCTGCTCTTATTGTGGTTTGTGGGTTGTTGCTGATGCAGATCCACTGCTGTATTTGCTGCATTGCAATAGTCACTGCATGTCAAAAGTAAGTCATGGGTTGGGGGGGGGGGGAAGTACGTAGGGATCACAATAAAGTACCATCACATTCAAATAGTTTACATTTATTTATTTAGCCAACCGACTGGCTGCGCTACTGCACATCACGAGAGTATGTGACTCGTTAAGTAAGTCACGGCATGAAAACACAGAATATTTTGTTCGATTGTTTTAATTCCAGACGAGGCTAAAATTGGGTCTGAATGGATGGAATGTCATCTTACGTACAGGAAAGAAATACTCATTTGTACTTTTAAAAAAAAATCAGATCGATATACAATTGTTTTAGATGGACATTGCAAAACAACTGTTTATCGCAACAGTGTTCATTTCATCTACAATGAACATTAAATGGGCGCTACAAAAAAAATACATTGTTCACTTTTTAAGATTGGCAAATACTCCACATCGCTCAGGTTGTCAGACTAGGTATCCTAGTTTGTTTTAGGCTTTTTTATTTTTTATTTTTTTTAGGCTGGATTGCATATCTTGTGCTCCCTTCCGACATTTCTCTATGACATTTCACTGATGTGAAATCAGATATTGTGAACTCGATTATGGTGGTTTACAGGGTGTCGCTGGGAGCTGTTTGTGGGATCACATTTGCAGTTCGCACGTAGCAGGTTTTCATTCTCAGTTGTGCAGTCAAACTCAGAGCAGAAAACAAGCTATTCCCCCACAAGCAAGAAGCAATTGGGAGGCAAAATTTCACCCCAGGCTGTTCTTATACATCTCCAGTCTGGCTGTCGATAGTATTCAACACAGGGTGACCATAGTGGGCAAACTGAATAAATACTATACAAAAAGCACCATGAATGAATATGGAGCCCGAATGGAGTGAATATGATCAATAATTTGTTTTAACATTAACTTTTAATTGCAACTGATGAAATCAATAAGCAAATTCTTTCAGGAACCTGTTTTAATAGCAGCTTCAGCCTCAAAACGTTAAATAATTCAGTCCGCTACGTACAAGAACAATATAACTACTGGCAAGGATTCTGAATGTTAGAGTGCCAGGTTCATGAGGAACTCAGTCATAAAAAGGACATAAAATGAGGATTAGCACTGGTAGGAAAAAATAGGTGGTTGGAAGAAATGTCTCTTTGCCCCTCCACACACAAGAGAAGGTTATTGCAATGTGGAATGCCTTAGCACAAACGGCTGTTGAAGCTGTGTCCGTGACAGCATTTAAAGGGGAATTAGAGAACCACTTGAGGAAAAAATAATATTAAAGAAGGTAGGGAAAAGATCGGGGGAATGAATTAGCGGCTACAGCACCAGCACAGACACGACCAGCCCTCCTTCTGTGCCGTAAATATTCTATGATTTAAACAACGAACTCTTTTTAGTGAAGGGGGAAGGTGAGTTTTCAATTGGATATATTTTGTTCTTTGATCCAATACATAACAAGTCCAAATGGTTTTCTTGACCTGTGTCGCAATTTACAAAAAAAAACACAGGCCAAAAATCCTAGAAAGATTTAAAAACAAGAAAAAGGTTAAATCAAACAAATTAACCTACTGGATGGAGCCAAAATAAAATTGGTGTAAACGGACGGAATAATTTACCGCCCGCTGCCCAATTTTAAGCTCGTAAAAAAAGAGAGCAAAGTTCAAGGTTTCAGGGCTGGAGACGACATAGGCCACAGATGGGAACCAAAGTGAAAGGGATGATTTCAAAGTGTCTTCACCCCCCCCTCACCCTTTATACAAAGGAGTTAAGGTCACAGACGATTCTCCAGACACACCACTGTCATGCCATTGAGAAGTTAAGATTGCTGTAGTAGCTGGCTGCACACTTGGTAGCTTAGTGACCCTGGACTTTTATAGGGCTCTTCTCGACGACAACAAATGCTGCCCAGATCACTCCCAACAGGATCATGTGTGCGTGCACACAAGGTCAGCTAAGACTCTATTAGGTCAAGTAAAAAAAACCACAATAAATTCAAACAGCCTGTACATCAGATAGCCTGATCTGCTGACTTTTTTTTCATCGTAGGCATCCATTATTTTTCCCCCTTTAGAGCAAGGGGTGTGCATTAATCAAAAATCACAGAGAGCACTTATCAAGCATTTGCTCTGGCCACGCAGAGGGCTGCCTGCTTCTCTCAAGCTGACAGCTAATGGGGGTGTAATTACAATGCAGAAAGTTGTTTCTATTCCAGTGAATTTAAGATAATGAAGTGAATGAAAATTCATGGCAGTGAAGGCTAAGTAACAAGGAAACAGAAGTGGAGGCTGCTGTAGCTCCCAGAGGCCAGCTTGCATCATAATTGCCTCCCAGTTGCAAGGGTCCTCACAGATAATTGACCAGAAAATGATTAAGTCATCATCAAATCACTCTGACTGCAAGAGTTCAAACATGTACTTAACCTATCCAAGAATTATATTTTCACTCTGTGTGTCTGCTCTGTCTCCAGTCAGCCTTGCGGGGACCTGATTAAAAAGACAACTGAAGGACCCCACTATCTGATCTTCTGCTGCTGATTTCAATAGAACTTAAACCCATTACTATTTGCTGAACTCAGAGTTCTCTCCATGTTATCTCTGCAGCAAAATACACTGTCCAAATTTCCAGACACTGAGATAAGAACTACAGGCCCCATGACGACTACTGTTCCTTTTTAATTCTTTTAAAATAAGAAACAAAACACAACAAAATGAGAGAAGCCTGCGCACCAGGGAATGAAAATTGCTTTGACATGGAGATTAGGCTTCAGTATTGTTGCAAGACATTGTCTTTTACGTACAAGAATAGGAAAAAAAGAAAGGGTATTTTTTCTAGAATGGCCTGTAGATGACCTAATGGGACTACAAAAAAAGTAAGTCCACATGACAGTGTTTGGCAGAAGGGTATAAAGGGAGATTTAAAACCTATTGTTACAGAATGGAAATACCAGAGATGCACTAGCCAAAACAACACAGCCACTCGAACATGAGGGCTCAGCATTTAAGACTCTTGTCACTTTTTGCTTATCAAACATTAACAGTTCCTGAATTACAATTTTTTTTAAACAAACAGAGTAATCTTGATCTTTAAGGTCCTGACAAGTACGAACGCATCGCAAAAAAAAGCAAATGCCAAAAGAGAAAGTCTCTTCTTTCCGCGGCTTAATTGTCCCTGTGACGGATTAATGCTTCCCATGGGATACTTCAAGCCCCAGTGTTTGCTGAAGAAACTTCCTAAATATTCAATGAGCACAGTCAAAAGATGCATAAAACAAATCAATTTGACACCTTAATCTAGCCAGGCAGTGATCAACCCAAGAGAATGTGTAATGGGAAGGTGGGGGAGAAAGAAAGAAAAATGAGACGTTTAATTTAAATCCAGCTGAAAAACATAGGCATGTTCTATTCTCTGTGGTGGCAAGAGCTTCTAAAAATGAAATGTAGCTGACAAGTTAGATGAATGAATCATATATTTTCAATTGTTATAATATGCATCATGAAGTTATGTTCAAGGGTTAGAATTTTTTTAAATTTGCACATTACATTCTGTATACATTTCTTTTCTCGTTGAGATGGCTGAAAACATATTGTTATTTACCAGCAAGTGGAATATCCCAGTAGAGTATCTCGCCGTCTAATTCAAACCGTCGTTATTAAAATAATTTAGTGTGGCAACAAATCTTATGTGTAAAAGCTTTGTTCACAGTGATTGTAATTTATGCAGATACCAGAATGGTTACATCTCTGGCTAAACACAAAACTATTGAACTCCCAGAGGTCTTTTTTCCATATACACACACACACACATTATATATAGACACACACACATTCATTTTAATAATGGACCTGTAGGTTACCCCCACCCCTTCCCATACTGAAGTACTGTTTCATTGACCAGAAAGGCATATTTTAATTCCGGAGCTATTAAGGGTCAGGTGTAAGTTTCTCATGTATAAGTTTAACATTAGTCTTGCTGATACTACACTGTTCCATTTAATATGTTGTGGTGTAGTAATAACACACGCGCACACACACTTTGTGCTGGTGAGCTTCATAGAACCTGTCCAGCTAAAAACTAGGATTGTCCAACTACTTAGGGTCTTTGGCTCGCAGGGTTGAGAACATGCGTACACCTCCAAGTCTTACTAATGAGTAAGAAAGGCTGGTTAATAATCAATAGCATCCTGGATTAGTACAGAGCTGTCTGGTTTCACTGGGTATTTGCTTGGGCGTCAATTCAACCCCAGAATCATTTACCTCCCTCCACCCTCCACCATTTTTAGGTATTGTTCTCATTTTACTGAACTTGAAAGGCTGAGCGCTGAGTGGAACCTGAACCTAACATTAGTTCACATTGAAGGCTTTACAAAAGAAAGCAAGGTGGGCACACACCAGGTCCAGGGAGTATCCTGAAAGCAAAAACTGTTCATGTCTTCAACTGCTGCGCAAATATATTTTGCACTAAAATACAAAATAATATTCAGCCTCGACTATGATCCAAGTTTGTCTCAGGATTGCATTAGAATACTACGTTTTGCAAACTTTTTCCTGCTCATCGCACAATCATACAAGTTCACAAACTAACATTTATGCATTCTAAGTGTATTCAACATACTTCAATTATTGAAAGTAGTGCTAGTTTTTTTTTCTTCAAGTTGGAAATTGATTACGTTAAGGCATTTTGCTTCTGCTGATCTCCCCCTTCTCTGTAATATTGTTAAACTCTGCGGAAACAGAATACATTACACCCAGAGCAAATAAACTTTATTCTAGCTCGAGGAACAACGCCTCATTTATCTGCTAGGGAACCTTACAGCCCTCTGGCCTCAATATTGATTTCAACAATTTCAGACGATAACAGCTCACCTTCCTCCTCCCACTCGTCTGTGACCATTACCACATCACCTGGGCCCAGACGCACCTTTTCTCTCTCAGGTCTGCCTATTTTGTTGCAATATTCCCCCACCTCTGTTTTGCATAATTAACACCTCTTTAAAACAGCATCAACAACAACAACAACAAAATTACATGTGTATAGTGCCTTTCACGTCGGGAGGACGTCCCAAGGCACTGGACAGTCAGAATTTCGGACCCGAGCTGGTGGTCGGGGAGGGCGGAGGGTGGGAAACAGGGTGATCGAAACCATGGTCAACCCCTATCCTCTACCCCATTTTCTCCTTTGTCTTCCTTGTCCTGCCTCCCCCCTCCCTATTAGCCTTTAAAAGCCTCTCCTTCTCAACGTGCCCCAGTTCTGACGAAGGGTCGTGGACCCGAAACGTTGACTCACTTTCCTCTCTCCATAGAAGCTGCCTGACCTGCTGAGTGTTCCCAGCGACGTCTGTTTTTGTTTCAGATTTCCAGCATCTGCAGTATTTTGGGTTTTGTTTTTAAACTTTATTCTAGTTTCCCTTCCACTGTGAAGCACAGTTTCAATCGTCTATATTGACAAGACAACAAAAGCAATGTTTCAATGACTCGCTACTTAAAGGGTAATAAATTAAAATGCCCCTTTAGAGAACTGTATACCAACACTTCAAAATGGGGGTCTGCATGTTGATATATTCACCCTCCTGCTGTCTGAAGCTGCCCATTTGCATCCCTGAATGACTGTACTCGCAGGAGAGTAAGAGGCCTTCGCACCACGTAGATGTGATTTGGACCTATACAATTAGACACCACATTCAAATTGGCCATGGAGAAAAAAAATCACTATCGGTCCCCGTTCCCCACTCCCCCCCCCACCCCTCCTCACTGTGCCCTCCACCCCTCCTGAAACCAACTCCCAGCTTAGATCCAACAAACCCTGACTGTCCATTGAGCTGCGGTGTCTTTCTGTCGTGAAGGACGCTATACAAGTGTAATTTGTTGTAGTTGTTGTAAATGCCTCTTTCCCAAGCACAGAAAATTGCTAGCAATGAAAAACTGTTGGAGCAACAAAGACAACCCCTCCCTCCCACATATGTGTTTTTTTTGAGGGGGCGGGGGTTGAGGGCAATGAGAAGGCTCCAGCCACAACTCAATTCACGTCCAGCACTAGAGCCCATACAATTAGACACCCCAATTAACCGGTAGTGGAGAAAAAAAATGTCTGCTGGTCCCACTTCTGTGTCGTTAGGTTACTGCTGACATCAATTCAGCACGAATGGCCACAATAATAATAATAATAATCCTTCCGTTTGTTATTGTGCCTTTCACGTCGGGAGGACATCCCAAAGCACTTCACAGGACTTACTGTAAAATTAGGTGATTGTGTATGTTTTGCAGACATGAGTTTGTTGCCTCATGCTCTCATAAGTGTTATAAATGCTTCTGAGAGCAGTCGCAGTGGACAGGCACAGCTACAATGCACGAGTCTTATAAGCATGACATTAAATGCAAGGATAATTATTTGACAGAGTTGAATTTTCCCCACTGGAACCTGACATTTGCAACAGAAGAGAGTAAGGTCTTCTACTGCTTACCTTCACCACCACAGGTATTTTGCACTTGGTGGCCACAAGCTCATATGTAAAGAATGCAAACTTTTCATCAGGGTGGCAGACAAGTTGGGTTGGTAGAAGGGGAAGAGGTGGGGGGAATCAGCCGTAGTAACAAATGGAACGCAAATGGAAACGTCCCATAATGTCTCCCACCAGTTTCCCCCCACCCCCCCCACCAATCAATGCAAATTCAGAATTGCCATCATCGCTACCGGGCTCTACCCACCATTTCAAATGCCGTGCAATTCAATTCCATTCAATCTTCACTCTCCCACCCCCACACTCATACACAGCAGGACTCTGCACTAATGAAGAGAAAGTTCAACAATCTCTTGAATCCCATCCTAAGCTATCCCAACGACTGGAACTTGCCTGACTCCAATACCCAGTGAGCAATCATATGAACTGATTTTTAAAAAAAAGTAAATTAAAAGGATTTAATGCAATATGTCGACCTGGGTTTGGAAGGAAGAATAGTTATTTAGACTTTAATGCAACGTTTAGAGGTTTGCTGGATGATCGTTCCAATTTGGTGGATTCTTTTGGAGGAAGGGCATCTGCAAAGGGTTTTTGTTCACATGGAAATTGAGCTGCCATCACCCAAGTTATGGGAAATCCACAATAAACAGATATCAATAATCCATTTTCTCGCAAAACATTAAACTTAGGAAGTGCCATTAACTTCTCGAGTACAGAATAATCTTATCAATTTTCAAAACTGACATCTCAGAGAGAAGCCTAGATGCTAGAAATGAGAATTGTAACCAACTAATTATTTTCCAATTGCTATTATTCATCAGATTTAAAACTCAATGAAATAGTTGTGTATTTCAGCTTGGTACAGATTGCTGTTGCAATTTTTAAAGGGTTAACTGATTGATATCCATTTACTGCAAGGGGAGAGGGTCATTAATTTGCATTTTGTCGTTTGTTGGTCTACTGGATAATACCGGTGCCCGAATTATGCTTGGCTTCCAGTGGTGAGTGGAGAGACAGCAAATGTCCAGTTGCAAGTGAAATAACATTATCCTTCCATAATAAATTGAAATTGGAATATTTTTTACAGTTTGCCTATATACAATGGATCATTATCCCCGGTTTATTAGGAATTAATTTGGTCTCCAGCCGGGAAACAAAATAGTCTGTGGGACTGTTTGAAAGTTCAATTACAAGTGACAAAAAAAAAACGTAAAAGAAAGTTCTGCTCAACACGCTTGAGCAGAACTTACGAGAAACTCAAAAAGTAGGGGAATTCTTCGGAACTATTTTGTTGGAAGGAAATAATTACTGAGTTTTAAACGTGTTTTAATTAAGGAGCGACTCGGGGAGAGCGCGGATGGTGGTGACGGGGGGGGGGGGGGGGGGGAATTGACGGCTCAACAAGAAAACAAATACAAAGTGGGGTTAAATTTACGAGGAGCAGAGGGAGGGTACAGCTGTGTGACTGGACAGCCTTCATGTCCTCATTTGAATAATGTGGCCTGAATCTGTCACTTTATTCATCCTCCTTATGCTCACTGTATGCTACATCAAAAAACAAATTAAGTGGTAAATAGGAGACAATAATCACCATTGTATTTCTCTCCCCCCCCCACCCCCAACCCCACGCAGTGGCTGTGAAAAGAAAGAGGCAAGAAAGAATCCTACTATGTCTTACCTTCACATCGGAGAAGAACATCTTCAGCATGTTGGAACTAGGGTACCGGGTGTAGAAGAACATTAGTTTGGCCTTTTTCAGGTGAGTGGGCGACAGACCTTCCTGGATGTGAGATGCTGTTCGTCAAGGAAAACACACAAAGCAATTATGGCAAACAAGGCTGCAATGGGAAGGGGTTGGGGGGGGGGGGGGGAAAGAGGCCTGCACAGCAAACCCTTAGTAACCAGGCGAATGAGTGAACAAACCAAAAAGAACATCAGCTGCCGAAATTCAACCATCGCCCAATCTGCGATTATTCCACATTTGACTTTATCTGACAAAAGGATTTTTTTTTGTACTAAAAAAAGCAAAGCATACAAGCATTTCAGTATCAAGCGTACTTTAATAGATAAGAGACAGAGACGTAATGTAAGAAACAATGCTTCGCGTTCTTCACACAACGTTTACTGTTTGATCCCTGTGGTTATCGTTTGAACAGACACCAAATTTAGCATCTGTTCAGCACCCTCCTCCACAACTAAAGGCAAAATACTCGACGGAAGTTCGTTTTCTTTGCAACGGAGAAGAATTTGGAATCTGCACTGACATTTAACAGGTTGGTGTGTGCTGCAAAATGAGTTCACAGACAATCAGGCTATTATTCTAATGTTAAAAATTAAACATCCTGACTCATAGCGTAGGATATTGTATGCATAGAAACATTATACTGGGCGGTCACTGGGTAGATTTTCAGGCTCCTGACCTATCAAGGGTACTGAACTAAAGATATCAAAGGTCAGATTTCTGACAGTCAAAAAAATCCCCAAGGGCCAGCTGATCAATAAATTATTTCTTACACTGATAAAGAATCCCATTTATCTGCAAATATTATTACCCTTCAGCATTGTAGACAGAAGCTTCCTAAAATAGTTCCCAGGAGAAAGTTTAATGTGACGCTAACCGTAACGATCTAGCAATTCTGATTTTCATTCAGTTTCCCTAGCGTTCTTTTGTGTGTTGTGCATTGGTACGGATTTGGCACATCTGCTGTAGATCGCTCCACCATTTCCTCCACAAATTAATGGCTTTATAATTTATCAGAAATGAAGATGCATGTGGAGAAAATCAATGCGGGCCCCAGAAGGTCAATTAAGGGGTCCTTTCCAGAAGTCGTTCTAAAGGCTGTCCTTTGAAGACTGCTTTTAAAATGCTGCTTGTTCCAAGGCTACCTAGGTCATTATACAAGGAGATACACATTTATATCAGAAATGAAACTATCGGAAAAGGAGGCTTTATCTGAGTGAGCAAACTCTTTAGCAACTCGATCAAGCCGGTCCTTTGTGCTCTGGAAGCTTAATGATGGCAAAGATGATAACTCATGATTGACATGCTTCTTGTACCAAGAGGGAAGAGTTGAAAAACCTTCTGTGACCTCCATTAGACTGATAGGGAAGACTAAAAGAGCATTACACTCTCCACTGCCATCTGTCATAATGCATAAGTGAAATAACGATGGCAAATGAAAGGAAGTGCAGCAAGCTGTTCTGCAGTGCCTCATGAAAGTGCAGAGTATTAAAAGAATCAATGCCTGCTTGCATTTTACGGACCAACAGCAAACCAGGAGCAAAACAGGCAGAATCTTCGAACATTTTAAAGATCTGCATTAAGTACTCCACCGCGGAAAAATGCAGATTTGATAGGATTTAAACTCAATGGGATTTTAATTCTATTCCAATTTAAATTTCTATTCGGAGATGCATCATCTTACAATCTACTCGTCAATTTCAGTTCAAAATCGTAAATTTAAAAGCCTGTTAGCAATTTCAATTGTACAAATGACTTTGGAAACCACTCGTAAATAGATAAGAGCAAAGCTGAAATAACAATATTAACATACAATTATGAAAAAAACCAAACAAGTTTCATTGTAAACTTTACAATAGTAAACTTTGCAAACTCTACCAATAGCTCCAGTAAAGGATAGAATCTTAATATTAAAATTGAAGAGGAATTCAAAGCAAGGCCTTTATTATAAATTTTTTAAAATATTAGAAAACCATCTTTACGTATTCACCAAACGCTTCTCTCATCTTACAACGGAAATGCAATGGCAGTTAATACACTATCCACTGAGCTGAACTGCTTCTTGAGGTACGAGAATTTGTAAATCGGCCTCTCCTTCTCAGAATATCTCCTTTGATTTAAAAGTGCGAGACTTGTTCATTCAAACGATTTTCATTTGTGCCATCGGTGCTGCCCTTTGGCTAACCTACCAGTCTGCACTTTCCCAGGTGACCACCCATTGAAGAGTAATAAACTTGCCCCACCCTCTTCACAAAAACACACACAAAGTCGCCAGAGTAGATCGTCTGGAATTATATTTCTGAATCCAATTATTTTTTATTTTGTTACAGCAGGCTATGTAAATTTCCTGTTCTAAAACGAAAGCGCGCGCACACACACAGACATAGACACACACACACACACACACGGTACGTCAGGATGTGGGACTGTAGCTCCAATTAATTTTATTGTTTAGTTTTTAAAAAATAAATTAAGACAAAAGCATAACTCGTCACTTTTGCGGCAAAGTAACTTAATTGTTAATTTAATATTCAAATAATTATTTCAGATATGCCAAAATAGTAAAAATCCCACAAGATTCGGCAAGTTACATGAGGCAACCTCACAGGATTGCATCTGTTATGCCAGAGGCACTTTGGCAAATATAAGATAATATCATATTTATCGTGTAGAAACCTCCAAAGGCAAAGCTGAAAAATACGAAGCTAGCAAGGTGTTAACTGTAAAGCTACTGGATCTTATCCCCCATTAAAAAAGTCAGGCCAAAGGTTTAATGTACTTTCAAATCATGACTCCTCGTCTCTAACTTAGTAACTGCACAACATCCAAAAAGCTCTGTCTCTACGTGTCTCTATATATTCAGTGAGCATCAGTTTAATGCCGCAAAGTACCGAAACGAAAGCCTGTACAGTAAAAAGCAAAATAAAAAACAATTAAAACTGGACTTCCTGAAACAATAAATATCCAAATCAGCCAAGCGTATGATCACTCTGCACAAGTTTTTTTCTGCATCAGCAGAACTAAAAATGTGTATTCATTCTAGAGATTTAGACTATTGGTAAGGTTATCACTTTAACCGGTTTGAAATAGTACTATTGTACATTTGAAAAAAAAAGTTTGTTTCCAACGTTTGCAAACTTTGAGCATTTTTATTACGATTCATTTCAGGATTATTATTTTGTCTTTAAACCTCATTAAATTGTTGAGATATTCAAGCTTGGCTTTTGTCATATTTGCGTGAAGCTGTCGTAAAGCAAGTAATTTATAATAATAAATAATAATCCTTGCATTTCATATAGCGCTTTTCATGTCTTCTGGACGTCTCAAAGCGCTTCACAGAATATACTGTAAAGTGAATTGACTGTATATTTGTGGGCGAAACGCGGCAGCCAATTGCGCACAGCAATGTCCCACAAACAGTCGTGGTTAGCCATCGATCAGCATTAGTAAATTTAACTTCTAAATTAAGAAAAAAAAGTGAGTTACACCAGCACTGACAAGTTTATTGGTTGACTAATTACTTTGGCTGACATAAGTCAATATAAACTCGGTGACTATATTAGGCGACAGCGTTTTTTCATTTCAGTTCACGTTTATGGATCACCCCCGGGAATGACAGACGACACTTAAACTGAACATCATGTCACTGGAGAACAAGACATCGCAAACTTCATTCTTCACCAACACATTGTGAAATCCTCTGAATTGGGTGGAAGTTCAGGAATATATTTTGACAGTCCAATTCTATGAACATTTCTACCGAAAGTAAGTACAATAAGTAAGTAACTCCAAATTTGTCAAATGAGTGATCCTAGTCTAGAAATGACTGTATCTAGCTTTCAAATAGAGATGGTAAAGATATAGCAGAACAGCAGACAAAGATGCAACGTAGATTGTTCAGTGGATTCTTTGCCATCAGCGTGGTTTGACTACAAAGGTGACAAAAAGTGCAGAGTAATCACCATTTTCTTCCTCCATTCATCCATTATTCAGAACATAAACAGTTTGAAGAAAACTATCCTTTGAGTCTTATTAAAGTTGGGAAGCTTTGCACGACAATAACATGGTGCAAACATCATTTAGCATTACAGCTAAGATTTTCACAATGCCGTCATTGGCACAATTGGAAAATATGTTTAAACGATATCTGTCCTTGCGCTAATAAATCTTGACGGCTTTCATTATGTACACTCACTTAGTTTTGTGGACTTTGCACCACTCATAATTTTTGCATGTTACAAAAAAAAAATCCTGGCACAATATTTTTAAAAGTGTGAATTTTTAACCTCAGCTCGTTGAGGGGAAAAGAACTGCAGAGATAGGGCCGGGTCTGAAACTGTACCTTGGGTGGCTTATTTCTGGAAACAGTCCAATTATACTATTATTTAAAATATTTATATTGTAGATCAAAGCTTATTCAAGATGGTCTTGTATCACTGCATAAAAGACAATTAACACTGCATTAAAGACATTGCTAATTGCCCACGTAAAAACAGGCCCTACAATTGTGAATTTGTTGAACACAGATCAGCAATTTCCCTTCATAATTCTTGGTGGAATATTAAAAAAAATGAAAGCCAGCCAACATCCAGATCACACTACACTGAAAACAAGCATTCTGTATTCTTATTGATAGTAACCGAAGTATGTGATAACGCATTATTTTCCGGTTTGATCAAGATTTCAAGGAGACATCTTTGCATTTAAAAAATCCACAAGAAAAGGTCTGACGTTGGGGAAAGAAATAGTCTTCATAGAACAAAGAGTGAAATGAATATAATAAATGAAGAATTTTAAAAATGTTTTACGGAGGCTTTAAAATGCATTTGACCTAAACCTTTGTTCTGCATTCTGTCACCATGAAGGCAAACTTTAATTATAAATTAGCATACCTTGTGACCAACCAAAATCAGCACAAAAATGTGTTCACTGCATTAAGAGGGCTGCCCAAAACAAGCTTTGTAATTCATATTCTTCGGCATCATACTTTGTGTAATTGACAAGAAAATATCTTAAATGTACAGCACATAAATAGATGTCCCTGGTTTGCAAAATAAAGCTGGATTGACCAATTGGTCAATTTCCCTTTTAAGTGCTTCTGCTCAAAGCAACTGTTCTTCCAAGAAAGCGGTAGCTGTTTCTAGGATACTTACGCACGCACAATGACTCATGTTGGAATAGATTTGGTAAACATACAGCTGCACAGAATGCAAGTGCAGCCCATTCAAAGCCAGAAGAAACGAGCACAAATAAATATTAAGGAGGTAAGAAAATGTACAGCTCTGTCCCAGCAGCTCATGTGGCTCACCTCATTCTCTCCACTTCAGCTTTGTTAAGACAGATGACATTCAATTCTACGTGTCATGCAAAATAGACAATAACTGCTGAAACTTGAGCCAGCTGCCAGGTGTAAAAAAAGAAAAGATGATAAATCCATAAATTAATGAAAGACATCTGCTCAGGAAAATAAAAGATCAGAGAAATACTGCACTGCAGCTGAACCTAAAGCAGTGTTCAAATAGCCCGAGTCTGTGGATAGTCTGGATACGGACTTTTCCTTTTTTTAAAAAAGCAAACCAAGGCAAATAGGCAGCACTACCTGAGAGGCAGATAAATGTCATTGTGTCTTTCAGTGTAGTACAACATGCAACCCAACAATCAGACAACAAACTGAACCAATGCAACAACTGGAATATTAAATATGTTTCTTAATGCAGTACTGTACATAGGAGAAATTCAAGAATTATATATATTTTTTTAAATAAAGAAAACTAAGGGATAACTTTTTTTTAAAAAAAACGTATGCTTTACAATTCCTACTTGTAAACCCATTTCTTCCCGATAAGAGAACCAGCATTGAAATGCACGCAATCAAAAAAAGCTTGAAATAATTAAAATCATCAATTTTAAATGTTGGTCCTAGTTTTTGCCTTTTGCGCTATTTTAAGATGTGTCCAATGTAATCTGACAATAATTAGATTCTATATAATAACAACTGCATAATCACAACTTATAAACTGACTGAAGTTCCAGTCGTTTCCTGCCTATCCCCATTTACTATTTGTTCCATCTCAAGTTCCCATCCCTCAAATGGTATCTTAAGTCTCTGGTAGATCCATAGAGATTCTCTGTTCCGACAGCTCAGCCTTGCATAATACTACAGCTCTGTTCCAATTTTTGCTGCATGCAAATGTTTTTGGTTTTCTACGAGGCTATTTTCTTGAGATGCAAAGAGGGTGCGTGACATGGAAGATCACGGCTGGAATCTTGAAAACAATTGTTCAACTGTTTCCTCTGATCATTTGAATAAAACTTGTGTCTGAATAGTATGATTTTCGTTCACAACAGTACGGAGCATATTCATGGTGAAATGTAAATTTATAAGCTGAGGTGCACCTTTATACGAGTCCAAGATTCAGTTTTCCCCACCCCTTCCCCTTAGGTTGTATTGAAGACCGACTCCCCTTTACATAACAGAAAACAGTGTAATATCTGTTGCTTGTTGCGTGTGAGGACAATGCAATTACTGGAGGAGTGAAAGAAAGCTAAGTGCCCTGCTGAATTAACAATTCATCAAAAACACCCATCTTGGAAAAATCTTATTCTACAGACAGATTAAAAAATATTGGGGGCAATTAATAAACCAGATCCATTTATGATAGACCTAATTGCGAATTTTGTTACCCGTGAAATATGTTAAATAGCTATTAAATTAAGAAATGCCAGCGTTGCTGCTAAGCAACATCAAATGGTGCAGTATGTTACTGACTCCTGTCAACAAATCTTTGTAAGAGTAAAAATAGCTCTATTACTTTGACAGAATGATATGATAAGGAGAAGAAAAACTATATAGAGAAACTGGCACTTTGACAGAAGGTGATTTGAACCAGATAATCTCTATGTAACCAGCACTATTTATAAGTTTTTTAAAAAAAAACCAAAAAAACACATACCTGTTTGCCTGATGGTGGAAAAATAAGTACCGTGAATCTTGTGTAAGAAGTTCACTTTAGCTCAGGCTACTCCAATTGTGCTCAATAGCTTTTAAAATCATTTGCTTTGTGTATACAAGGACAAAAGATTTCTGTGTACAGCTGAACAGAGGTTAATCATGCATAGCAGGCAGCTGCAACTAACTTGCGGAACAGTGGAGGGTGGGAGTAATGCACTTGTTGCATCTTCGCCATGTTACACAGAAGAACAGGCAGGTAATGATAGTGCATAAAATTAAGGTCCCTGGGTAATAGACTTATACACACCTCAGAGGACCAGCTCACTGTGCTAATAGGGAACCCAAGGGCACTAATTAGGTGAAAAAATTGGTACTCTTACCTACGCACACAATCAACATTAGGAGTGAACACATGGAACCATTAGGAAAAGGATATCGTACTTCCAGAATAGGATGAAATCTCTGCCATGTCCTGCAAGTCACCGCACTCCGATTTAATGAGAGACAGAGAGAGACCTTCAGTTGTGCTGGGAGGGTGCATTGGTGAGCACGGACGATGATTCATGTGGTGAGACGACACTTTGGTCCGCAGACTGGCTGTTTCCCTGGTCAAGTCTAAGGACTCGGGAGATGACCTGTCTTTCCCAGACACTGTGTTGGAGGCGTTACCTAGAGAGCTCTGAAACGAATAGGCCATAAGGGGCAAGGGCAGAGGGTGGCGGAAGGCAGGGGATGAGAACCCTGCTGTAGCTGAGAGTGGCGACTGATGGAGAGAACTGTGGTGACCTCCCATGGAAGGGGTGGAGGCAGATTGCTCTGCCGAGTTTTTGCGGACCACGAGAGGAAGTGCTTCCGTCTGATCTGAAGAGTTGGAGACGTGCATGTTGCCAAAAGCGTCCAAGGGGTTGGAAATGATGACGTCACTGAAGCACTGGAGCCGCTGATTAGTGGTGTGGAAGTTGTGGTTCTCTCCATTGACGGCAAACCTCGCTTGAGGAATCTGGATGGGTGGGAAGACCTGAGGAAGCTGGTGGTGGGATGATTTAGCAAACATTTTGACAACCGAGTCCACTACTTGTGACATAGTGGAATGAAGTTCATGCTTGAGAGTCTCTGCCAGCTGTTTCCCTTCACCGTGCAAGGAGCTCAGGCCCTGGCCTCTCCTCAGGTGGCCACCTCGCTTTAACTTTTCATTTTCCGCCGCCATTTCCTGCTCCCTGATAAGAGCGCGAGCCCGATCGAGGAAGTGTCCTGGATCCAGGTCAGACATCTCGTTGTCAGACCTGTCTTGTGCCCTCGTGTCATTGGTTTCCGATTGCATGCTGTCTTCGGACATGTTGCCGTCTTCATCGTTCTCGGAGTCGGTGCTGTCGTAGATTTGGTAGAACTTCTCCTGAAGCTGACGCAGCTGCTTCTGCATGTCTTCCAGTTGTTGCTTCAGCTGGCGGCGTTCCTCGCGCTTTTGTTCCTTCCGGGCCGTGGCCAATTGCTGAAAGCTCTGTTGTTGCTGCTGGGGCAGCTTCTGCTTCCGCTTGTTTTCCCTGTAGCTGTCCCTAGGACTCACGGGCTGCTGCCCTCCCTCCCGATCATTCTCCCCGCCCCGGATGGCCACGTTCGGCGAGTGGCTCATGCCCCGGATTATGTTCTCCACTCGGGCGCGCTTGGCTCGCAGGTGCTCGTCGCAGAGCCGATCCACGTCAAACTGGCTCATGCTCGGCCTGCTGAAGGGCGAGATGCGATCCTGGGGACTCTCCCTCGAAGAGTTGCTGCAGGCGTCCTCCTGGTTCGCTTCGGAGCCCGTGCTGGAGAGCGGCCCGGCTTGCAGATTGAGCTCCGTGCTACCATTCTTGTTCGCGTTGCTCTTCAGCAACTGGGAGATGATCGTCGCTCCGGGGAAAGGCATCATAGCGTCTTCGTACGAGTTCGCCCTCTTCAACAGCTTGCGGAGCACGTTTGATTTGTCCCCATCTGTATGCTGGACCACTGAGCACTCGACGTCCTGATCTGAGCCGTGGGGATTCATGGCACTGAATAGGTTCACTCGCGCTTTAGTAAACACCGTGGAGGTCCCTACAGTTCTCTTCACTCCGATATCGACTCTTCGTCTCTTCGTGTGTCTGGTTAACAGGACTGTGCTGTCATGGTCAGGCATCACTGGACTGTTATTGTGCCATCTTGAAAAGCTGGTCAGCTGGGCACAGCTCGAGAATCCCGGGACCCTAGCCAATAGAACAAAAGAACTGATGAATCATTTTCTTTAATTTTCTCTAAATTTCCTGACCTCAATTCTGCACAAAGTAGAAATGCGCTGGCACTGGGATTTATGGCACATTACAATTATTACAATTCATTATGTACTAGGTTGGAAATGAAACATTTTTAAATATTTCTGCTCCAATGCTTTAAGATGGATTAAGATTTAAAAAAGCAAAACTGCTTAAGCACCAGTAATATGATTCTCCTGTACAAATGCCTAAAATGATACTATTTATCTTGGGGGGGGGGGGTTTAAAAAAAAACAAAGATTGCTAAAATACAGTAAACTATTGATTAAATCAGAGACATCAAAGGTTTGACTACCTCAATAGAAAGAATCACTGCTGATTACACAAACCGGATTGAATACCGCGGCAGTGTGTTTTTGATTGCTGAGTTATCATAGCTTTTATCATCTCGCACTGGCAAATACTGCGTACAGAATTATGCTCCCATTACAGTTACACTCCAAATGCCACGATATTTTCAGTTCACTTTTTGTTCGTTCCTACTTCTAAAAATTTTCAGCGGCCTCTGGCTGAAGTGCATCTGTTTCTTGTACGTACACCTCATTCCTAGAATGTCACGAAGATATGTCATATTATTAACTGCAGTTGGAAGACAGCAGGGCAAACCTAAATATAGATTTAGGCCATCCATGTATTCCTTTCGAAACCTATATATAGGTGAGTGCTGGTGAAAGGTTATCTATCACCGAGATAATAAGATATAACTTCCTGTTTCATACCCTACAAAATACAGAAGCAACAATGACATTTACGTCAATTTTCAAACATTATGGCAGAATTTATCTGATCAAAGGCCACAGATTTACAAAGGTGCCTAACCGTGTTGAGATTTAAATTACGGCACACAAATAAAACAAGGCTTTTCAAAATTTTCCGCTACTGAGCCTAACATTTTTTTGATGCAATGCGTCCGCAAATAAAAACTCCTTTTTTGAGTCACGGGTCACAAAAGAAGATGGTCCAAAATGTTGAGTAACAAAAGCAGCGGTGTAAGAAAACAACATTGGGCAAAAGCGTGGGAAAGGAAGAGAATGTATTCTTTTTCATGTGGAATCTCGTGCTTTCCCAAAAAACAGAAACGCAGCTAAAATCCTTGTATAATTTCTCACACAGAGACACTCTTGGTGTACGCCATGCCTGGTTAACGAGTGAATTTATAAACTCATGCTAAGTTCATTGAATATAGGGTTTAGGTTTTCAACCTACATAAACAACAAATCAGAATATATTTTTCATGCTAGATTTATCCTATGTGAAACTTGTACATGAGCTGAACAGCACACATCTCCACAATAGCAGGATTGCTTGCCAAAGGCAGCATGCGGACATTTTGGAATCAGGCCATCTCTTTCGGTTCACCTGTAAAAACATCTACATATTCCCCAAGACCACAGCTGTGGCCATCATTAGAGAACGACTCTGGCTACCTAAGCAACTGTTCACTTTCCTCGCGAAAAAAAAATTAGGCATAACGCTTTCGTACTAGGACTTTGATAAAGAAACTGTAATTAGCCCATTCCCCAACAGAAAGCTTTCAAACTCCAATTTATAGTTTCCTTCATGGACTTCTGTAGGCACTTCACATAACAGTATATAAAAACACAATTCAAACAAACTTCCCAGCCATCACAGCTAACTATTGCAATGTTAACCTTCATCTCTCTCTGGTAAAAGCGCGTGAACACCTAAAACAAATTTAGTCATATAAAAACTAAAAATTGGTTGCATCCTGCTCTGTGAAATGAATTACCTCTCGGGGAAAATAAAGACTTTAAGTCGTCAAAAATACAGGAAAATCTTCAAAACACAAGACATCTCCACTCGCCTTTAAAATATCAGAATCCATCTGCCAGTTAAGATGCAGAATAAAATCAGCAAGACAACCCCTATTTAGCAAACAATTATTCTAAGTCAATCTTTGAAGCATTTAAATGAATTATATTATTTTGAACAAATGTTTTGGCAAATAAGTCAGGCATTAACTTATTTTTAAAAAAAGACTGTGTAAAAGGAAGCCAGTGTCTTATCTGAAGAGGAAGTTATGTTAGGTGGATTTAAATAAAAATATCAAATTATTCTCAAGGTAAACCAACGAAAATGAAGGTGTTGTCGTGAGTTCATGTAATACCTGGCAGAAATGCATTTTCAATCTCTATTCCTCAGAAATAAAGCAGTTTGGCTACCTGATGAAAGCACAATATTCCAGTGTGTCAATCTCATTTATTTTCATTGTACAGAAGATCTGATCTCGGCATAACATTTCTTGGCAAATTAGTTATGCGTTTATTAAGCTTCAACTGCAATAAAGACAGCCGTTGTTGTTCAGCCTTGGGGTTGGGGGGTGGGAGAGAGAACTGGTTCAGATGGCTGTTTCAGGCTCTAATTGGTTAACATGACTGTTTGGTTAACAGTTCTGAAAAGACTCGCAGGTTCAATGAACTTTTTTTTAAAAAAAAAAGTCTCGATTTCAGAATGGAAAATTGATTTTAAGTTGATTACAAAAGGCAGCTTTTGCAAACCCAGTGTACAATTTTTTTTGCAGGTCTCATCATCGGCAATTAGCAAATGTGCAATTTATACAACACATTGGCCCTTGCGGATCTATGCCATTACTCCTTTCTTTTGACTTAAACTGTCATAAGAAATCAAAGTAACCTTTAATCGACGTTAAACCTCGATCCAGGGGTGGACATTGCCTACAGTGCAACGTTTAAAATATACATCCAACAGCTGCAATGAAACCGATATAGTTATACATCTAACCAGATGTGTAAACATTTCCTCACAATTCTGTGAGAAAAGATTCGGCACTTGAGAAAAAAAAATAGTTCAAATAATCACAGATGTTTGCTAGCCGTTATCTTTAAAAACTTTATGACCATCGCCAACTGAGGTGCCTCAACTACGCCTGGTAACAAATCAGTTTTGCTTTTGCTGATGCAAACCAGAGGTCATAAAATATAGGAAAAGATTAAATAATTGTGCCCTCTTTACTTCCCAGAATTTTCAAACGTTTAATCGATACACTGGAACATAAACATTTAAACTCTCCTTTTACGTTTCTGAACTCCTTTGCAAAAAAAAAATTGAATAAAATAAAAAGAAAAGAAAAAAAAAGCTTGGTTTCAATTGATAAGCTACTGGTATGCATTCATTCATTCATTCATTCATCTACACACATCCAAACTGGATTATAAAATGCAATTATTTGTCATTGGCTTTCAAAAAAAATGGCATTTTTTTTTGTGTATTAAGAAAAAATGGTTTTGCCCCCTCTTGAAAAATTACCTTTTTAAAAAAAAGTTTACAGAACAAGAAAAAAAACCTGTTTTTAAAAAAAAACTGCAATTTACCCCCTGACTTCAATCCTACACCTGAAGCCGCAACCGTGTTACGTCTCTCACACCTGAACTGTTTGGCATCGTTGGGGAAGAGGAGAACAGTCAAAACCGACCAACAGCCCCAACAGCCCGAGAGCATCAGTCATCAGTCAGTCATCCGTCAGTCAGAGAGGAGCAGTCACCAGTCATCAGTCAGAGAGGAACAGTCAGTCAGGAGCAACAGCAAGAGATTTGCTCTGGAGATTTGTTAGATATCATACAAATATATCTTTAGAGACAGATACACAGGAGGGAGGGAGGGAGGGGGTGGGTGGAGTTGCCCCTTGTGTGTGTGTGTGGGGGGGGGGGGAGGATCTGGTGAGGTTCATGCCTCCTGGAGTGCTCCCCCTCCTCCCCACTGTTAAGTCTGATCGCAGGTTGAACTCTCTGTAAAGAACAGTGAGTGGGCAGGCAATGTTACTGACCCCCCCCCCCGCACACACACACACACACAGCCCCCCCCACACACAACCACACACACATACAGCCCCCCCCACATACACACATAGCCCCCCCACACACAGCCCCCCCCCACACACACACCCACACAGCCCCCCCACATAGCCCCCCCCACCCACACAGCCCCCCCCCACATAGCCCCCTCCACACACCCACACAGCCCCCCCCCACATACACACATAGCCCCCCACACACACAACCCCCCCCATATACACACACAGACCCATATACACACACAGCCCCCCCCAAACACACAGCCCCCCCCCACACACACACACCCACACACACACACCCAGCCCCCCACACACACACAACCCCCCCCCCCACACACACACACCAAGCTGCTGCACCTGCCTGTTTGACACAACGCACCTGTCCCCTGGTGCTCGTGCGCAGTCTCTCCTTCACCCCCCCCCCACACACACAGCCCCCCCACACACACACACCCCCACACCACACACCACACACACACCCCTCTCTCTTTCTCTCTCTCTCTTTATGTTGAGGCAGAGAAAAAAAAGAGAGCAGTCGGTCTTCTTTCTCAGCGTCTCCCTTGTGAACTTCACCTGCAGTCGGGATTGCCGGGGGGGGGTGGGGGTGGGGGGATTAGGGATAAGAGAAGCATCAGCACAAGGTCCCTTCCCGTGTGTGTGCCCGGGATACAGAGCGCCCCCCCAGCGCTGGGCATCAGCAACACCGCCACCGTATCCAGAGCCTCCGGAGTGGTGCGTAAACAACTAAAGGCACATTTCTAAAGAGGTCACCCCCCCCCCCTCCCACACACACACACACACCCCCCACACTCACACCCCCCCCCCCACACCACACCCCCCACCCACACACAGCCTAACAGAGAGGGGGGGTGGGGGACAGAGAGAAGACGAGAAGAGTTGGCTCTCAATCTCAAAGCCTCAAAAGCAAAGGGCGACACCAAATGTGAGCTGATAATTGTGCTTTTAGGACTTACTTTATATTTCTCTCTCCCTCTGTTCCCTCTCTCCCCCCTCTGTCCCTGTGTGTCTGTCTCTCCCCCCCCCACACCCCCTCTGTCCCTGTCTGTGTCTCTCTCTCCTGTCCCTGTCCCTGTCTCTCTCCCCCCTCTGCCTTGATGTTAGGGGGTTACATTTTGAACGAGTCAGATAGCAGGACAGGATGGGGGGGGACTGAATCGGAACATCTTTTTTTGCGTTTGCGAAAAAAATAATAATAATAAAGAAAAGAGAAACAGCCGCAGGTCCATGTTTCCCCGGGAGGGGCTGTCGGCTCGATCGGCTTTGATGAAGTTGGATTTACTTTCGAGGTACAGTTCACGTCTCTTCCCCCCCCCCCCTCCCCCCCCCCCCACACTCCTCCCCCCCTCCCTCCCCCTCCCTCCCTCCCTCCCTCCCCCACCACTAACCCAAACCACTCTCCAGATCAGATCACTTGCGTCAAATCAAAAAAAAAGGTGCCTTTCTTTCCCTCAAATGCCATCGACTCCCAACTGTTCAAACACAGTTGCAAAATATTCTTTCCGTTAATCAACCTCCTCCCCCCCCACCCCCACCCCCCCACACACACACACCCACACACACCCACACACACCACACACACACCCACACACACACACCCTGTCAACGCCAACCAGTCCATTCGATGTGACAGCGTTACCTTACACACAGACACAGAGACACAGACAGACACACAGACTTATTGCATTGGGAATAACAGCGACTTTCGGTGCACATTGGTGGGCAGCGCAGTGCCCACTCCGACTCGGGATGGTCAAGGGCAGAATTCGAGGAACGGGGACAGAAAAAAAAAAGAGGGGGTGAAATTGTTGACAAAGGGACACCTTGTGATGTGACGGCCAACTTCTTTGTCCATGTCTGACCATCAGAGCTGCATCAGCCAAGGAGGAGGGAGAGAGGGAGAGAGGGAGGGAGGAGAGAGGGAGGGAGGGAGGGAGGAGAGAGGGAGGGAGGGAGGAGAGAAAGGAACACAAACAGGGATAGCAAACAGCGTGTCTCACTCACTCACTCCCTCCCTCCCTCTCCCTCCTCTCCTCTCCTCTCTCTACCTCTCTCCCTCTGCTTTCTCTCTCTCTCTCTCTCTCTCTCAGCAACGTTTGATTGCGATCGTCGACTCCAGGAAAAAGTTTGGCGGAAACCTCGGGCTCTCTGAGCAGAAACACACCGATCCACAGCCAAAGAGCCGAAGGCAAAGAAAAAAAAGGGCAGGTTTGCAAAAATAAGCGATATCCCGAAAAGAAGGCGAACCGAAACCAATACGAACTGCTGCGGGTCAGAGAGAGAGAGAGAGAGGTGGGGAGGGAGAGGGAGTGGGGGTGGGGGGGGGGATAAAAAGGAAGTATCTCCAATGCAAATCAAAAGCAAATCCGTTGCATGACGAGACACGAAATAACTGGGGTTTACTTGACAGGAGACAAAGGGAGAAGAGATGATGGGACAAAAGAGTACAATACAGTATTTGGGAAACAAGCGGCGGAATTGTGTGCAGAACAGACAAGGAAGGGGCTGAAGATATACCCCCCCCCCACCCCCACACACACACCCACCCACATACCCCCACACACACCCCCACACACCCACACACACACCCACACACACTCCTCATCCTCCCTCGGTCTTCTTACCGAAACACGTTGCTCTTCTTGCCTTACTTTGGGGATAGTCACTCATTCACTCACACGCGCACACACACACACACACACTCACTCACAACCGAAAATAAAAAAGCCCTTTCTTTCCACCGAAGGAAGCGCACAAGAGAGAGAGAGAGAAAAAAACACACACACACAGGCTCTCCGCCAACTGTGAAAGTTTTAGGAAAGACGCAAAGAAAGAAAGAAAGAAAACCAAAAAAAAACACAGGTAAAGGAGGAGAGAGAGAGAGAGACAGACAGAGAAAGAGACACAGAACGAGAGAGGCACAGAGAGAGAGCGAGACATACACAGAGAGTGTGTGTGAGAGAGAGATAAAAGGGGGACCAGGTTACTTACTGTATTCGTAGCAGTGGTTCAGCGAGCGGAGAAGAGTGAGGGATGAAGGGAAGGAAAGAGAGGTGGGAGGTGTGGTGGAGGAGAGCTTGGCTGCTCTGCAGGAGGAGGTGGTGGTGGTGGAGGGCAGAAGGAGAGAGATGACAAGGAGGCTGAGCTGTACCTGCAGGAGGGGCAGGTGGGCTGGGAAGGGTGGGATGGCTGGAGGGAAGCAGGAGATAGCTGGGAGGAGATGGCTGGGAGATGGCTGGAGGAGGCTGGAGATGGCTGGAGGAGGCTGGAGGAGGCTGGGAGCAGGTTGGGATAGCTGGAGGAGGCTGGGAGATGGCTGGAGGAGGCTGGGATGGCTGGAAGAGGCTTGGGGATGGCTGGAGGAGGCTGGAGATGGCTGTGGGATGGCTGGAGCTGGCTGGGAGGAGGCAGGAGATGGCTGGAGGAGGTTGGAGATGCTGGGATGGCTGGAGGAGGCTGGAGATGGCTGGAGCTGGCTGGGAGGAGGCAGGAGATGGCTGGAGGAGGCTGGGATGGCTGGAGCTGGCTGGGAGGAGGCAGGAGATGGCTGGAGGAGGCTGGGATGGCTGGAGGAGGTTGGAGGATGGCTGGAGGAGGCTGGAGGAGGCTGGGATGGCTGGAGGATGGCTGGAGGAGGCTGGAGGAGGCTGTGGGATGGCTGGGATGGCTGGAGGATGGCTGGAGGATGGCTGGAGGAGGTTGGAGATGCTGGGATGGCTGGAGGAGGTTGGAGGATGGCTGGAGGAGGCTGGGATGGCTTGGGATGGCTGGAGGATGGCTGGAGGAGGCTGGAGGAGGCTGTGGGATGGCTGGGATGGCTTGGGATGGCTGGAGCCGGGAGCCGCGCTCGCTGCGGGTTGGGGTCGGGATGGAGAGTCACTGTGGATACACTTGAAGACGGCACCGAAGGAAACAGGAAGAACCCGCGTCACACTCTCTGTGACGTCAGCCGCGCCCGGGCCAATCGGCGTCGGGGTGGGGTGTGGGGGGCGGGGCGAGGGGGGAGGGGGCGGGGCGAGCAGCGGGCGGTGACCAATCAGGAGAGACTTGGCGGTCCGCTTCAAACAGGGCCAATGGGAGAGCCCGGGGGTCACGTGCTGCAGCACCTCTGTACCTCTGTGTGTGTGTGTGTGTGTGTATATGTGTGTGTATGTGTGTGTATATGTGTGTGTGTGTATGTGTGTGTGTGTATATTTGTGTGTAGGTGTATCTGTCTGTGTATGTGTGAGTATATCTGTCTGTGGGTATATGTATATGTGTGTGGGTATATATGTGTGGGGGTATTTGTGTGTGGGTATATCTCTCTGTGTCTGTATTTGTGTGTCGATACATCTGTGTGTGTGTGGGGGGGGGGGGGGTATATGTGTGTGTGTATATATTTGTGTGTGTGTGTATTTGTTTGTGTGTATGTGTGGGTATATCTGTGTGTGTGTGTGTATATATATGTGTGTGTGTGTATACATTTGTGTGTGTGTATGTGGGTATATCGCTCTGTGTGTTTGTGTCCGTCCATCGCTGTTGTGCATATGTGCGCATCTGTGTCTGTGTGTGTGTTTCTTTGTGCGTCTGTGTACATGTGCATCTCTGTTTCTCTACATGTTTCTGTGTGTGTGTGTGGCTCCCTCTGTGTGTGTGTGTCTGGCTCCCTCTGTGTCCCTCTGTGTCCCTCTGTGTGTGTGTGTCTGTCTGTCTGTCTCCGTCTGTGTCTGTGTGTGTGTCTGTCTGTCTCCGTCTGTGTCTGTGTGTGTGTATCTGTCTGTGTCTGTGTGTGTGTGTGTCATTCACAAAGTAATTAGCAACTTTGATGGGAAAGGCTGTTTGTGGTGGATGTTACAGTGGGCAATAAACAAAAAAAGTTTGCAATTCTATTTTTCTCGCTGCTGATTTTTTTTGTTTCTTTCTCCTTTTCTCACACTCTTCCTCCTCCTCCTCCTCCTCCCTTTTTCTTGCCTTTTTCCTTCCTTCCTTCTCCGTGTCTGTCTGATTTGGCACTTTGCTAACTTCAGAGATGAAGTGATAGTTTCCAAGGTCGAGCAGAGTGGGGGTGGGGGGTGGGGTTGGGGGGATTGGGGTGGAAAAACACTGCTCACAAAACCAAAGTAAAAGCATAAACTGTGCATTTGTGATGTCGGTTGTTCTTTTTTTAAAAAAAGTGTTGGAGAGGCGGATGGTGATGGGAGAAGTCGGGAGCGATGGCGAGAGGTTCGAGACTCTTCGGGACTCGGGTGTGTAGGGGGTGTGTGGTGGGGGGGGGGGGGGGGGGGGAGACACCTCGTCTCTGTTGGGGAAAGTTAATTGAGAGTGAAGAGAAGCGAAGTCCAGGAAGGGGTTAACGGCGGAAATGGGATGTGTCACTATTTCCATTCTGCAAATCTAAATTGGGTGCAAAAAAAAATGATACGAACAAATGAATTTTGTGGAACAATAACAGCGAAAGTGGAACCGCGACTGAGGACATAGGTAACTTTTGGGGGGAATTGGGTATATGGGATGGGGGGGGGGTGTGGGGTGTGGGGGGGGGGGGGGGGTGTGGAGGCAATGATGACTCTTGAAAGTTTAATCAACCAAATAAATTTCCAGAATTTATAGCTTTGGTGACATCTCCTTGTGGGAATATCACTCTTCGTGCTGATTGACCGTTGCTTTTTCCCCGACCTCATTCGCCTTTTATTTTATTTTATTTTATTTTATTTTATTTTATTTTATTTTATTTTATTTTATTTTATTTTATTTTATTTTATTTTATTTTATTTGTTAAAGGTGAATTAGAACAAAGCGCACGTAGCCGTGCGAGCCATTGGGGCCAGAGACGCGAGATGGGCGACTTCAGGTAAAAAAAATAATTTTTTTTTTGGGTGGGGGGGGCTTTGGAAACCGAACATATCTGCGGTTCTCGGTGATGGGACAGTTATTCCGGTTGTGCCCCTCTGCGCTCCGGGAGGTGCACATCACTCTCTCCCCTCCGTTGTGCATCGGTCGTCACTCGGATTACATCGCGCAGTTTATGTTTGAAGTGCAATTTTTTTGGGGGAAAAAAAAAGTAAAGTCGATCGTAACGTTCCTGATGGCGATTCAATCCACTGCGAGGGGGTGGGGAGGGGCGGGGGGGGGGGGTCGTGTTGTGTTCGTGAACTGAATGCTTTCCAAGTGATGCCATGGTAGTGGTGGTGGGGAGGAGGGGAGGAGGGAGGAGGGAGGGGAGGAGGGGGGGAAGAAATAATTAAACAGTAGTTGGAGAAGAATATCGGTGGTGAGGCATTTGCGTCGAACCACATGGACACGTTCGGTCGATTACTTTTCTTTGGAAGTTCCAGTGGAGCGACGCGGTCTTTCCTCTCTTCGTTTCTCCATCGGAAAGCGACTCAACCATTCCCCACCGATTTAAAAACAAAGACATAACCATCAGCAGAGGTTTTGGGCTTCGGCGCCTGTTTGGCCACAGAAATATGTCGATGCTCTCTGTCTTGCGCAAAAGCGAGTGACTTTTGCAAGAGAGTGTAGTGTGTGTGTGTGTGTGTGTGTGTTTTTTTTTGGGGGGGGGTCCGCAGGCAGAGACGACAGCTCATATGTGTCGAAGCAATAACAAACAGTCTGGGTTTGTGGCTCATGTCAAAAAAATAATAATAATAGCAATCTGGCGGGACATCCTCTTTGTTTTGGTGTTGTGGTGGTGGTGGTGGTCCTAAACAGCGTTGATTTTGGTGGAATAACGTGTGTGATATTCTCATTGATATAAACACCACTGTCACTCCTTCCTTTAACCCCCCTCCCCCCCCCCCCCCCCCAACCCATACCCCCACCCACACTCTTTTTGACGCGAGTCACTCTTAAGAAATAAACCTGTTTTGAAATATTGAAATGGTTCTGCGGTCTCTGTGTGTGTCTGTCTGTCTGTCTGTCTGTCTGTGTGTGTCTGTGTCTGTCTGTGTGTGTATGTGTGTGTATGTATCTGTCTGTGTGTGTATGTGTGTGTGTGTGTGTGTCTGTGTGTATGTATCTGTCTGTGTGTGTGTATCTGTCTGTCTGTGTCTGTCTGTGTCTGTCTGTGTGTGTATCTCTGTGTGTCTGTGTTTGGTCTTCATGTCCATCCCCAAATGTCAGGAGTCACATTTTCCCACTGCTGTCCTTTATGGCATTCCTGACGTGTTATGGTCGTTCAGGATTGTACTAACACTAACAAGTAAACCAAGTTACCCACTGGGTCCACAAGTCACCTTCCGCGAAAGTTACAGCTGAGAGCATTTTCCATCTGGTTTAGGATGCAATTCACAACCACCACCAATAATAATAATAATATTACACTACACCGTTTCGAATGACAATAAGAGACACATTGCAAACGCTGAATTTTAATAATAAATACCCCCCACCCACCCCCACCCCCACCCCACCCGCAGTTTCAGAAAATCAAAGCGATGGTAAATTAAAACGTCAGATTTTTCGGACGGTGACAGTTTTTCTTCATGTCCGTCCCTTTTACTGTCCCAGTTTGTTATAAAAATAACTTAGTTTCCCTGTAAGAAAGCACTGCTGTTTAAGCGTCCACCTCGGATTTTTTTAATACTGTAAAAGAATTGAGTCTTGAAATCTACTGGAATCGTGTACTATTATGTTATGACATCCATGATTTTTTTTTAAAAAAAAAAGGCCTGACATTAATATCTCTGAGCTGAGAACCATTTGCTAAATTGAAACAATCAAGAAAGGGTTCACATAAAATATATTTCTAAACTAGCAGCTGTTTCGGGTTGCCTTAAATGAATGTTCATGCCGAATGCATCTTCGGGTACATTAGGGATTATTGAGGCTTTTGATTGCTCAGAAACTTTGATTTGCTAAAACGTTCACAGCCTTTATGGCGCGCGGAGATGGTCAGTACATTTGGATGGAACATTTTATTTTTCCCCTTTATAAATTTACACTGGGAAACCGCAGTCATTGCCTGCAACAGCAATGGTAGGGTTGACGATTGATATACTTAGTGATATACTATAGCAAATTATATATATATATATATATATATACACGTAGGCTAGAAAAAAAGTATTAGTGTACTGTTTTGACAGAAAAAGGGGTGTTTTAGAATTTTGATTGCAGTTTTGAATATGTGGGATAGTACAGTTAATTGCTGTACAGAATATTACTGAGTAAAACGACACAAGTGGAACCCAGAATCAACGCAGCCTCTGTGTAAATTAACACGGACTTGCAAATGGTCCTTTGAAATCACAAATGGCGTGTATAATTCAATATAAAGGACAATATATAGCAGTAAAGCAATGCTGAATATAATGTGTCTTGCTAAATAGCA